CACCCCGCCGTCCCCGCTGTCCTGGGGTCCCCTCCGGCACCCCTGCTCCATCCATCCGCACCCTGGAGGACAAAGGTGCCGTGCACCCCAAGTCTGGGGTCTGGCTCTGAGGGGCAGCTTGCTCAGCATCACAATGCACCCCGCGCCGGCCCTGGTGGGCTGCACGCACCTAGGACAGCCGACGGCCCCGTGACCAGCTGTCAGCAACTTGACGAAAGCACCGGCTCCATCAGGGGTGGTCGGCGCCGGTGCCGGGAGGCCAGGGCGTCTGTGAGGACAGACGCTCCGTCGGGGGCGACCTCCTGGCCCAGGACAGACGGCGGCCTCCGCCGCGGCGAACAATTCCGGGAACAGGGCTCCTTCTAGGCTCCCAGGGCCTCCCCACGTCTCGCGCTTCACGCTCCTTTTGCTGGAAGGAAGATGAGCGTTCGCTTCATGCCGCGGGGACGTCACGCACATGTGGCTGCTCACGCTTTGTTTCTGCGATGATGTCCTGGGCCTGCCCAGCATCCCCACAGCCACACGGAGGGAAAGACCGATTCTCGTGACACTCGTCCTTAGACATCCTCTCCTCGTTGTTTTAAACCCGTATCGACCCAGTGAACCTAAGGTCTCAGACAAAAGCCACGAAATTAAAGGCCAGACAACCTATTCTTAATGGCATCCCGGTGTAGCAAGCTGAGCTCCTGAGCCAGTACAAGAAAGGCCTCCTAGTAAATGCTGGTCTCAGATGTTAGTCACACACCTCACAGCTGTCAGAACGGCCGCCATCAATAAAGCAACAGCAAGTGCTGGTGAGGATGCGGAGAAAAGGAGCCTCGTGCACGGCTGGTGGGAATGCAGACCGGGCAGCCACTGTGGGGAACGGTATGGAGTTCCCTCAAACAATCAAATGCAGAACTTCCATCTGACCCAGGGATCCCACTTCTAGGAATCTATCCCAAGAGACCAGAAGCACCACTCAGGAAGAACGTGTGCGCCCTGTGCTCACAGCAGCACAGGCTACAATGGCTGAGACCTGGACACGGCCCACGTGCCCACCAGCAGAGCAGGTGAGTGGGTGAAAAGCTGTGGTACAGTCACACCAGGGACACTACGCAGCCTCCTGAGACAGCGCGGAGGGGCCTGGAGAGGACGGTGCGGAGTGAATACGCCGCTCCGAGAAAGACAAGTACCACACAACCTCACTCACGTGTGGAATCTAATGAACAAAATACACTGATGAGCAGAGTGGCTGCAGAGACACGGAAGCACGGCCCAGAGTGCAGAACCTCAGAGGGAAGGAGGAGGGCGAGTAATTTGAATCCTAGACGACAAAAGATCTAATTTTAAAACCTAACAAGTCTACACAATAGGAGTGGACACATGGGGCCAGAAAAGAATTTCACCTCGTTTTCCATTCAGCACTTGACTCCAGAGGAAGTGAGGGTGGGGCCGCGGGGGAGTGTGAGTGACCGCGAGCCCAGGGCACCCACGCGCTCTCCAGCCCACGGCAGGTCCCGATGACAAGAGTTGAGCCTTTAAAAGGTGCAAGCAGGGTATCTCCGCTCTGGGCTCCAGGAACAGCCGTGGGTTTGCCTCCTGGGATGCCAGAGACAGTGGCTTGGCTCACGTCTGGTCTTAGAGCAGCGGCTGCACATTGGAATCGCCTGGGAGGGTGAGGCCCAGGAATCAGGATTCTAAAAAGATTCCCGGGTGACTCTAATGTGCAGCCAACGTTGGGAGCCGCTGTCTTAGAGGAAGAAGCAGGAACCTGCCCGGCCGGCCCGCCCAACGGCGTCTCTCCGTCCGAACACAGTGGTGAAGAGACGGGAGTGTGAACGTGGAGAGCTGCGTAACGGTGATGCGAAGACGGCAAAGCCACCACCAACTCTCGCGGCAAAGGAGCTCAGCTAAGAAAATACACCTCCGTGACGTCAAGAACAGGTGACACAATACACATGGTGTTTCGGCTACTTACTGTTGCATCGCAATAACCATTTTCTTGCATTTCATGATTTAGGGGAGGTGCTGGGCTCCAGGTGGGGACTCTGCAGCTCCCGGCTGCACTGTGAGGGTCCCCGACGGGCGCGGCCGCCTGCTCAGGGGGCGCCTGGGGGTGGGAGGGCTGCACAGCCTCTCCGCAGGCCCTCAGCACAGAGGGGCTTCTCACGGAGGCTCGGGGCCCGGGAGGGAACATTCCAGCAAACAAAGCAGAAGCTGCCCTGGCTTGGCCTTGGAAACCCTACAGAACCTTCCATCATCCGTGTTCACGGGCAGGGGACACGGCTCTCACCATGCGATGAAAGAAGATCACGTTTAATGATGAAAGGCTGAACACTGTCGCTCGGAGCTGAAACAGGACAAGGAAGTCTGCCACAGCCAAGCTAGGCCGAGACCGTCAGCCGCTCGGCCACCGGGGGGAGCGAGACAGAACCCCCTCCGCCTCAGGAAGGCCACCTGCTCACGGCCCCTTCGTCTGCGATTCTAGCCCCAGAACTTCGAGATGGTATGTTTCTGTCATTTTATGTCACTTCGTTTTGGGTCCTTTGTTATGGAAGCCTAGGAAACTAGTGCAGATTTTTATGACTTTTTCCACTTTGAGAAGTATGTGGTTCTTGTTTAAATATTCCTATCTTTGTTTATAAATACCTCATTTCACTTCCTATATTTTTATGATATTCTGAAAGATGTTTATTTGTTACATATGCTATGAACAATAATTCTAATAAGTTATTAAAGGTCTAATTCTTCTTTTTGCAAAAAAGAAAAACTAAGTAAGTATGAAAACATCCCATTTCATGGAATAGAAGAGAGTATCATGATAAATCATTACTTTCCACATTGAATTCGCAATGCAATGCAACCCTTATCAAAACCCCAACTTCTTTTTTAGACACAAAAACATAATCTGCTCCTCAAACTCAGATGGAAATGCCAGGGGCTCTGAAGAGCCAAGAACCGGCTGGGAGGCCCCTTCCAGCTTCAGCACTTACTTCAACGCTGCGGTCACCATGACGGGGACGGCACGGCTGACGGACGGACGGATGGACGGATGGACGGACGGACGTGCGAGCCTGGGACAGAACTGACACCAGCAACGAACATCTAACGGTCACACCAAACGGTCAGGGCCACTCCATGGAGGAGAACACCCCCCTTCAACACGCGGATGGGGCACCCGCCTGTGGCCCCACAGAACTGGAATATGCTTTCTCCAAAGAAGATGTGGACCATCAAACGCATGACGTGCTCAACGCCATCCATCCCCTTCACCGCGAGGGGAAGGCTACCACTGTGCGCCCCGAATGGCTACAACGAGACCGACAATAACAAGTGCTGGCAACTATGTGGGGCTCTCGGGACCTTGTAGCCGCATGTGGAATGTAAACCAACGGAGCCACATACCGAGCCTGGCAGTTCCTCAGCAGTCAAAAATAGAGCGGCCAC